AGTACCTCCATGAGTATGTTAATGATTTTTATTTTGAACTCCCTTTCTGGAAGATTCATAAGGTCAATGTCTTTTAAGTCTTTCTCAGGAGTTGTATTCATAATTTTACTCTGAACCAGGTTCCTTTGGCGTTTCATATTTGTATATGGCGCCCTCTAGTGTCCAGAAGCTCTACTCTCTGGAGATGCTCAGCCCTGAAGCAATGTCAGGGGTCACAGAGGAGTGGTATTGGTACCTGGGGGAAGGAAAGAGCTGTTTCCTGCTTCTCAGCTGCTATGCCTGTCTCCACTGCCTGAAGCAGTGGGCCGAGCACACAGGTATAAGCCTCTATGCTTTGCGTTTGTAGTAGCTGTAGTAGCTGTAGACTAAAATTGGATATTAGCTCCTTCCCTCTGGCTGGCCTAATGACAGGGTAGGGTTTGCCGGTTTGCGAGCCAGATGTGTCTGGCCGGGAGAAAGGCGCAGTAGGCTGCGTATCACGGAGGGGGTCCTTGGAGCTGTGTAGGCAGCCAGCTGGGCAGAGTGCACCTGGACAATTTTGTCTATCCATCCTTTCTCCTGAGCAGTAAGCTCTGTACAGTCATTGGCCCTTTAGCAGCCCTCTTGCTAAGGGCTTCCTTGTGAGGACGTCTCTCAGCCTGCCCGCCTTGCTTTTGTTCCAGAGCAGGCGAATATGGATCCCTGCTTTCCACAAGCGGCTGGAATCTCAGTCCCTCCAGGAATTCTGCCTGTCTTAGCTTCCCAATCCCCTAATCACGAGAGTATCATGAAAGCACCATGCAGTGTAGGTTTGTGCTCCCAGAGGGAGCTAGGTATTCAGCAGTCCCAGGCCTCCACTCCCTCCCTGCTCTGTTTCTCTTCCTCCTGCCGGTGAGCTGGGGTGGGGGAAGGGCTTGGGTCTCACCGAATCATGGCTCTGGTACGTTACCCTGTTCGGTGAGGTCTGCTCTTTTCTCCAGGTGTGTGCAGTCTGACGCCGCGCTCTTTCCTGTTGCTCTCTCAGGATCAGTTGTATCAATGATATTTTCATATTATATGTGGTTTTAGGAGGAAGCCTCTGTCTCACCTCTCATGCTGCCATCTTTAATCTCCTCCACTTCCACTTTTCCAGGGCCTGAGAAAGTCTGCGTAGTTGCAGGAGGATGTCTTCCTGCTGCAGTGTTTTTCTGGTCTAGCGTCTAAATAGTCTCTTCTTGATCCAGCTCCAGCTCCAGCTCCAGCTCCACCTCGCCTCCTCCTCCTCCTCCTCTTGCTCCTCCTCCTCCACATCCGCCTCCTTTTCCTCTTCCTCCACATCCTGTGGGGCTTTGCTCGCCAGGTGTTCCTGTGCACCCAAAGGGCTGGATGTTTTTGGGGCCCCTTCAGGCAAAACATATTCTTCCCCTCTGGTCTTCTTCGAGGCAGGCTCCAAGATTTCGGCCCTGTCCCATGAGACAGCCACACCTCTTTTCATCTGGACATGCTTGCTGGCGCCTGCCATTCCCAGGTGTGGTGGAAAGGAGTCTTGGGTAGAGAGGGAGGAAGCTTCCCATTCCCCCAAGACCTGGGGTTGAGTCCTCTCACGAGGCCCAGTACTAGCACTATCCAGAGGCAACTGAGGGGTTCCTGGGAAAGGAAATTTCAGACATGAGAAAACTAGAATAAGTGTGTGAAGTCTGTAGGAGTTGAGATGGTCGTAAGACTATTCCTATGTGGGCACATGGCCTGGAAGTACATACATACGTGAAATCACAGAATGCCGTGAGATGTACATTTTATCTGATTGTGATTATGTGGAATTGAGGGTGTGGAGGTCTGTGTATGTTCTGGGACATACCTGGTGAGAGTTTCTGACATTGGTAAGGGGGTGGTGAATGACGGCGTACATGTGTGTGTGGTGCACTAACACACATGAACAGGGATGGTACGTGTTCTTATTGTGAACCAGTTAAAGAAAGAGCATGTTGGAGGAAGTGTGCTTGAGCTTCCCAGAAGGGCAGCTCCCTGAAGGGCTGAAGGCTTTCAGCTGAAGGTTTTGTGGGTGAAGTGGTAAGTGGAACAGAAAGACTGTATATGAAAGTGCATTCATTTCAGGGCATATGAGTTTTTGAGTGCTTAGGCTGGCTCTAATGAGGGAGGTAAAACAAGTTACCTGTGTGAAAGGGTGTACATTATTTACAGGTTAGCCTGTAGACAGCGGAGTCTGAGAATGATTGCATGAGCAGGGAAGGTGGAAGTGTGTATCTGTGTAACGCTCGTAGAGAATGGGAAGGACGCATCTGGAATGAAGGCGTGTGTATATGAGAGATACAGTGAAAAGAAGGAATAGTGGGGCTGTATCTGGTATGAAGGAATATAGGGTGTGTGTGTGTGTTTGTGTGAGTGAGTGAGTTTGTGCTGATCTGAGGGAAGAGGTTGTAATTGAATTCCCACACTGTTAACCGTCACAGCCCACTATCTCACAGCTGTCCCAGTGTTCATATGGGGAACTGTCCTATCCTTGAAAGCACACCCCCAATTTGTCCCTCTGCAGAGGCTTCAGTCTTAATTCCTCTGCCCTGAAGCCCTTTCCTATTTTTGAAGGGAAAGTGAAATCAGTAGGGATTGGGCTGAGCAGCTCAGCTATTCATCCTGCCCAACCTTTGTGATCTCCTTTACCGTCCTCATCAGCAGCTTGAAGCTTTCCTGCCGAGGACACACAGGAGGAACCCTCAGAGGCCAAGGACTCTTCTGGTGTCTTACTGCAGCCTGGGACCACCACACGGGCCTCAGGCTCAGGAGAATCCTCTGGGGTGTTGTCAAATTCTGAGGAATGAATACAAAAAAACAGATGTGGCATTTTCTAGGATCTGTATCCATTCAAAAAAGACATGTTGAATGGACAGTTATGTTAGGCATTGAAACCCCCCATGAAATTAAGCATTTGAAACTTCACTTGCTCCAAAATATAAGGAAACAACAATTATGAAAATTTTGTGTAGTAGATGTCAGTGATATTGGGTATCTTGTATGTGATATTTCTAAAGATGTATACAGAATATCAAAAACTAGTGACTAAAATTGGATATTAGCTCCTTTTTCCTCATGAGAAATTATATAATTAGAAGACATGGGGTACAAGGTTTAAAAGAATTCTGCATGTCTGTCCACCTGCCTATCTATCTAGATTGGTATCTATTGATATATAGAAAGATAGGGATATCAATATAAATATAAAGAGGTGTAGAGATACAGCATTTTCGCAGGGAATTCCTGGGCAGTAGCCATGGTGCTGGAGATGTTCAAAGGAAGACTTTACAGACTTGCCCCAGACTCCTCTTCTGGGAATGGGTTTCTGTCTTTCTCCAAGACTCTTAACCTCCGTATTCAGATCTTTTAAAAACCTCTTTCAGAGGAGGCTTACACACCCACATGATACATTTCTGCACATGGATAGGAAACAGACACCCTGGGTGCATGCATGAGCTGCCATTGACTGTAAGGAAGAAAATCCTTTCTCACAACCTGCCCTTTTCCTGGACTTACCTTCTTTTCACCTGTTCCAGAGGGGGACTTGGCTCAGGGCCTGGAAAGCCCTTCCCCCTGGAGCTACAGTAGTTCTGACTATGTGACTAAATTTTCTGCAGTGGGAAATGAGTGGCGAGGACACATGCCCCAACCAGGCGTGGGCATGAAGTCCTCCTCTGTGCCCCACTGTGTTCTTCCCTTTTCTAGCTAACTAGGATGTTGATAACTTGGGGTCTATTTGAAAGCTGAGTGTTAATGATAAAAAGTTTCTGTCAGCAGGGAGACTTGCCCTATTCCTTCACATACCCTAATTGTTACTTAAGAAATAGATACAGTCCTTCGTGTATTAGTTACTAAGGCCTAATCTACTCCAACTAATGAATCTACTCCGTTAGTGATATAATGAGTTTTGAGAAGCAGATACTTAGACCTGGTACATATTAAGCAAGCCATTATATTAGAAACTGCTCTGTGTCTTCCCTTGGCTTATGTATGCTGTATAAGCCAGGGGAAGACACAGAGTCACCTCACACTCACCACAACTATTTCTGTTTCCCATTTTTCCAGAAGAGCCAAACTTTCTCAATTCAACTGTCGTGGTTAAATGGTATTTGTGTGTGTGTGTGTGTGTGTGTGTGTGTGTGTGTATCGTGCTGGTTTTTTTCTTAACATTTCGTAAAGGAGCCTCACATTTACATCTCTACAGTCTGAGACAGTGAAAGAAAGGTCTCAATGTCTGAGACGATCTAAGAAATCAATTCATTTTCTGTATGACTTTACACTCTCATCCCTGCACCTCCAATTTTAGGTAGTCAGATATTTTTCCTCATTTTTCATTTACGTCTTTGAGCCGCACTTTCTTCATTAACTGGAAAAAGTATTATTGGAAAACTTGTTACATTGTAAAAAAGGAAAAAAAGAGAAATACATTCTATAGGAAATATTATACCAATCAATCACTCCATCTGTGATACAGGAACCCAGAGCGGCACGATGTGGGGAGCACAGGTCCTGAGCCACAGAGACAAGGACCTGGTCTCGGGAACCTCCGCTCAGCCCTCGGGTGATCTGGTCCCTGAGAACGAGCGGCGCACCCACACCTTCTCCTCCCTCCCGCCCTCCTGCCCTCTCTCTCCCCGTAAGTAGGAATCCTTGCTCCTTTTTTCTTTGGAAGACGGTTTCTAGCTCCCCAGTGCTCAGAGAATATCACTGACACAAACCTCCTGACATCCTGGCAGGACCTGGTCTCGGGAACCTCCGCTCAGCCCTCGGGTGATCTGGTCCCTGAGAACGAGCGGCGCACCCACACCTTCTCCTCCCTCCCGCCCTCCTGCCCTCTCTCTCCCCGTAAGTAGGAATCCTTGCTCCTTTTTTCTTTGGAAGACGGTTTCTAGCTCCCCAGTGCTCAGAGAATATCACTGACACAAACCTCCTGACATCCTGGCCGCTTTGGGGGCACGTGTGGTTTCAAGGTGTTTCATTTTCTGTTTGCGCTTCATGGCTCAGCACCTCAGAGAGTGACCAAAATCAGGTGCCTTCCTCTCTGGAACTCTGGTGCCAGAGGTTCAAGTGATGACAGCCAAGAATCAAGTCAGTATATCCAAGAACAAGACTGGAGAGGCTCTCTCCTCACTCACTCAGTCACTCACTGGCCCGGCCTGTGCTTAAGTACACCAGTAGGGCCATTATGATGTAAGTGAGATAGGGTTTCATAGCATTCTGACACGTGCATCAGAGCAGACCACTGATGGGGGGGACCCTTTTACCCAACAAACTCTACCATGAACTTGTATTTTTATCTTGCCCTTCATATGAAAACTTGAGAACCAATGATATGGATTAAACAAAAGACAATTACTGTATGTATCTAGGGGAACCACATTACTAAATCTCCACAAGGGTGAGGATAAGGCATTACCTGAGAGAACCAGGCCTAGACCCATGCCTGCCCCGTAGAACATGGTAACTATCGTATCTTAGCAGTACCATATAACTTATGTACACATGTAAGTTATATGGGAGGTGCATGTGTATACTGGGTTTGTGAACACCTCGTGATTCCATACAGCTCCAACATTTACTGAATTTTCCCTGCTATACAGAACAGGCTCATGTTTTAACCACGCATTGTCTCTTTTGAAACTTCCCTGTCACTTCCCCAGAGCCTTCAGGGAAAGAAGCCCCTGGCTTTACATCCAGGGCCCTCATCATGAATCCTGTGCTTGTCAAGCATGAAGGCTTCATTCACCCACCTCTGTTCTAGGCCTCAGTCTCCTGGAAACCAATGGGCTCTGCACAGGGTTTGAACTCTAGTTAGTTCCATTCTGCTCCCAACTTCCCACTGACTGGCTCCTCCCCGAGGGTCAATATGAATTTCCTTCAAACTTAGCAGTTGCTCTATAACCAGGCCATGATCCAGCCAGCTTCAGCCTTCTTTACCTCCAGTAGGTCCTCCCTCACGGTGTTCCCCCCACATGGGTCTGGCCTCTTGTGGCCACTAAATGGTAGGTATATTTCCCAAGATATTCTCAGCCTTGTTAGCTATTGGAGAAACCCAAACCAAAAATTAGATACTATTTTACACATACCAAGTTGGTAAAAATTAGATCAACCTATACATATAAGGATATGGGTAAAAAAAAAGAACCTTCATGATATAAAATGAAGTATTGACCTATGTAGCTGTGTTGGGGAACAATTAGCCAACATTTTATGAAATTAAATAAGGATATAACCTATAAGCCTACAATCTCATTCCCTGATGGGATCTTTACAAGGGTGATATTCGTAGCATTATTTATACTAGCAGGGAAGGTGGCATTTTAGTTTCTAACTCAAGAAGAATGGATAAGCAACATATGGTTGGTATATACAACAGAATACATTTCCAAGAATAGGAGCCAAGCCCGTTAAACTGTATGCCTATAGGGCAGGGCATCAGGAAGGAATTGGAGATCAGAAACAAAAAGAAAATATAAACCAACGAAATAACCCTAAGCTAGCAACTAAGAAGAATTATTAAATTACTAGTAGTCAATAAACATTAAAGAGGGAAAAAGAAAATCTTTCCCAAAAGTGAAAGGGTTCAGATCAGGTCTAGAACTAAGAGAAAGGATTATTCTAAAGCTACCCTATAGTATTAGCTTCCTAGGGTAAGTTACTTTACCTCCTAAAGTCTCACTTCTGTTATCTATAATCCAGGAAAAATAGTTCTTCTCTCATACCCTAGTGGAGTCCTGCATGGATGCCAGTAGAAAGACACCAAAGCTTGAATTTCCTGTTAAACTCCTGAAAAAGTCACTTAACTCTGCCATAGAGCCAGCTCAAAAAATGAGTAAAAATGCCATGGAAAAGAAACAGAAACAAAACCCAAATGCAATGCTTCATGCCAAAAGACAGTAAAATACTGGCAGTAAACATCTGAGGGCGGAGATGGGAATGGGAATTTTTACTACCTTTTCTTCCCATTCCTGTACAAGGCCACCATTGCCCCTCTAGCATTTTTGGTCATCCAAAGACCTTATCCTGTATAAAATTCGATGATGTCCCTTTCTCCAAGTAGATGCAGCCCCTCCAGGACACATCCTTTGGTACAGGAGCCCAGGCCATGTTTCAGAGCTTACTATTTACTTCTTGCATCTTTGTTCTTAGTTTCACAGGATACCCTCAAAATAATGTTTTTCAAAGTAAATAAGGTTAAATCCTTTTCTTTCCTGCCTCTTTCAATGTGGTCTTATTACTTATTTGTAATACAGTAAGCCTGGTTCTTTTATGCTTAGTATTCCATTTTGGGTTCTCTTCACACTTAGTTGAGGTTTTTTGTAACTTTATGTACAGTAAAATCCACCGTGCTTTTAGAGTTCCGTGAGTTCTGACAAATGCTTGTTCATGTAACCATCACCAGTTATGACATAGCCAATTCTATCACCCTCCAAATTCCCTTACAGTGGTTTTTTTGTAGACAAGCCATCACTGCTTCCTAGAATTTGTCACTTTTGAAAAATGTTTAAGTAATACTTGAATACTTCTTTTTTAATAGTTTTTAATCTTTTAATTTTTTGAAACCTGGTTATGTTTTTACTTGTCATTCTTAATTTTAAACATAGCCACTGATGCTTTCCAAAGGCTATCCAGTATGTCATCTGTGTTACTGGTTTCCAATTCTAGGATTTATTTTTAAATTGTCCTGATACTTTGGTTTATTAAATCTATATTTGTTTACTCATTTGTATTTCTTTTATTTGGTTTCAAGTACCATTATTTTTTTCATCATCTTATGTTGAATTTCAAGGATATTTGCTTTTATCCCTGTGTCATCACTGGAAAAATTAGGGGTACGAATTTTTTAAAAATGTGATTTGTCTGGATTACGGATTTTTTATGTGTGTTCTAATTCTAATTATGCCCTAATTATTTCTTATATATAGATAGTCTATGATTATTGTTTTCTTTTTACCTAGACATTATTTCAGAGAGATGTTTGTTTTTAATATAGATTTCCTTATCATTTTATTTTGTTTCATTATCTTATGCTTAGTGATGTTAACATTGTATGTTTTTGCATGTGTGTGTGTGACATAATGTATGGAGAAATGCTACAAACAGTTCTTCTGTACTTGAAACTAAGATATATTTTCTGTCCCTAAACTATTGGAATATATATTCTTTTCTCATGATATAGTATATCGACCTACCTAAAATCACCATAAAATATTGACATTACTGTTCAATTTTAAATTTTAGAATTGTTTTACCATACGTCATTGCCATATGGTTTCTATTTCTCTGGTATTTTTATTAATTTCTCCTACATTACACAGTTGATGTGATTTATTGTGCAAATGTTCATGAAGTCCATATTTAACTATATTCATCAGTATGAAGTCATTTAACAGTCTTATTTAAATTTTCAAAAAAAATACTTTATTAACAAAATAATTCTTGTAGAATAGAAAATTGGAATATGGCTACAACATAGATAAGAAAATTGGATTATAAGCAATACATTTCTGGCAAAAATAAAAGACAGTATTGGTAAAAACAATGGTAAGAATACATGTAAAACAGGGAACCACAGACTGCTTTTTAACTAGTAGAAGCAGAAAATACAGATAATTATCCCATGGTATTTACAAAAGCATTTCGCAGCTTTACTGTCTAACTGAAAAGGGAAAATTGAGGCAATTACTATTCTGATTCTTGTAGGATATTCCAATGGGTGTATTCCACATAGAGAGAACATAGGCCTAAAGAGAGAGTAATAACAAAATAAATATATAGGGATTTCTAGGCCATTTCAAAATAATTACTCTCTTAGTAATTTATGTCCATACAGCTATTATTTTCAACTCAGAAATTCCAGCAAAACCACCGTCTAATGGAGCTATGGTGGGAATTTTCATGGAAATATTTGGAATTTGTTTCAGTTCGACCTGGATATTCAGGCCCGTTAACTATGTGGCTGTCTGATACATCAGGTTTCTCCACATTGTGATTCAGTAAACTTTCCTCTTCAGAATTCTTTGATGTGTACTGCTTTTTCAAGTCCTTCTCTGAAATTTTTATATATTGACAAATTGCAGTTTTTAGGATTAATTTTTAACATTAACCTAAACTACGGCATTTAGTTGTTGTACCATATGTTAGAATGTTCACATTACAATGAATGTGGTATTGGAAGCATATCTAACTTTTTAAAACTGGAGTTTCCATGTTTAACAATAGTTGTTCCTGATTATGACAAGCTGAACCAGTTATAAAAAGTGCAAACTTGCACAGTCTCAATTATGGCTCCTCAAACACCAGAGTACAATAGCATTAACTCTTTGTTCTTATTTCTTCTGTCAGACACAGTAGTGTTTTTTGACCACTAAGTGAAAACTGAATTGGTCGAGAATTACCAAACTATTTGTATTGTATTAAAGTGATTTCACTTTGTCATTAGGATAGATTTGTCACTAATTTTAAATGACAATATTTTTTATATTTCATCAACATATACTCAACTCTAAATATGATAACTGCCACGTACTAAAAAAGAAGTAAATATTTATTGAGTAAATGATAAGTGATTTAAAAAAATTGAATGATTTTGATTATATTCTTCATACTTGTTTTCTCCAAACATCAAAACACTGAATGATAATGGAAGATATACAAAATTAAGATGATATTAATAAGTATTTGAATTAAGCGACCTAGTAAAATTTATAAAATGCTGTAAAAATTTAGATGTATTTTTATAAAAATTATGCCTTTAAATTTAAGTTAAACATCAGATTTGGTGTTCTTCTGTACTGTGCTAAAAACAATGTGATGGATATAATTAGAGTATAGCTGTCTTGACACACTTGGTCATTTTATTGTTGAGAATTTAAAGATTAACCCATAAGAAATGAATAAATATGCTTCGTGTTTTACCAATTATTATACCCAGGACAAACGCATTAGTGTAACATTTAGTATGAACTCTTATGTTGTCTTACCAATGGGTTTCACCCCCGAAGAAATTCACTATAGATTCAGTGAGACTGAGGGATGAAAATGGAACATTCTTGGGGTAAAAGGGTTTATTACCCAACTTTGTTCTCCCGGCGATAGGTTGAGCACTAGGATCATGTCTGCATCCAGCCATCTACAGGTCTGTAATCATCTGTAATCCTCCTTGTCACTGCCTCCACCCAGCACACTGGGTAGAGCTCCTTACACAGTGACTCAGTCAGTAATAGTCTAGGAGTGTGGGAGCATTAGTCTAGTAGCAGGCCAGTTACATCACCAAGTAGTTTAGGTTCAGGTGAGGATCCTGGCCATAGGATACATTTTTCCCCATCCATGTTTTCTCCTTTGTGACATTTACTACTCTGGTTAATAATAGATTGATTTTACTTGCATTTCTCCAGTGTTATTTCCTTTTTAGTTATTTGAACTGATGGTACATGAGAAGTTAAAATGTAATTATAATTATCAAAATTACATGTTTGTCATTCAATATTCTGTCATATTTTTTTTGCAAATTTTGATTGGTTAAATAGCATGTGTAATAATTTTTCACACTGTGAAAAGGCAGTAAGTGTTCCAGGAGGGGAAAACTGCAAATAAAGTCTGTGCCATATTTGCACTCACAGGAGAGATAATTAGCTGAAAATCATAAGATGGTATTCAGTGAATACCACGTTTTCATGCTTGTGACAAATGGTTTTACCAGGTAAAGGCCAGAAAACTGGTAAAGTACAAATTAAAATATTACTAGTAAAAGAAGATCCACAAAAATAGTACTGCCGCATGTGGGTTTTCATATCATTTAGTGATGCCATTACCTGAAAACTATTTTTGGTATATAAAATATTTTCAGCAAAGGCAATAATGAGCCAACAAGGTAACGTTTCCAAACCTATGATTTTACTGAATTTATTTGATTTGTGCTCTGTACATAGATATAATTGTGCATTTGTAAAACCGGTAGCCATTTAAACACTATTAAAGTGTCTTCCCAATGGGTTTCAGCCTCAGACAAGTTCACTATGGATTCAGTGTGACCAAAGAAATGACTGTAAAACATTCTTGGGGTGAAAGGGTTTATTTCCACGGTGGCAGGTCAGTCACTAAAATCCCATTCACTCAGAGTGAGTCTGCATGCAGCAAGCCGGTCTCTGTCTCGGGGCCCTGCTACCTGCACAGCTGTCCTCTGTCCTCTGTCCTTGGTGCTGCCACCACTCCAGCCTCTGCTCGCTCTCCTGCAGCCTTGCAGTCGTGCCACTGTGTCGCCCAGAGCACTTAGCGGAGCTCTTTATAGAGTCAATAGCAACGTATTGCCTACACATGTGTAGTGAGCTAGTCAGCCAGGGCCAGGTGGGAATCCTGGTCACAGGAACATTCATTTTATCCACATAAAGAAAAAGCTACAGCTGCCGGGAGCCATGCTACTTAAGCTGTGTAGCAAAGGCTGGTGGAAGACCCCCCACAAAGCAGAGGCCTTCGCAGCTTGCTCCCCCTATTACCCACCTTGATTTTGTTTTTCTCCATTATACTATTGGCTTTGCTTTTGCTTGCATTTTTGCCAAAGACTAAGCTAACCTTTGCTAAGCAGCATGGAAAGGAGGAGAACATAAACTTCCCCAAAGCTTTTCAGGATAGTGCTCCTGAAGAACAGAACCTGCAGAGGCCAGATGGCAATCTTGGCATAGAATACCAAAACCTGCAGTTAGTCAAATATTGACTACCCCATCTCCACCTAAGTGGGAATGCCCGCCTTGTTTGCAATGCTAGTGAAATTAGTGATGAAGAGTTTTATAGGAAAATTAGAGAAATAGAGTTATAGGAGAATACTGAATGGAATAACCCTGTATGACACTTAATCAATCTTCTCATGTTTTCTTCCATTTGCTACTTCTATAGCTTTTCTTCTTCCTTCTTAATTGCAGCCCTTTCCTAGAATTCATGCCTCATACATGAAATTACCAAGTATCATAATTCTTCCAAGTGGGCAGATAGTCAGAATCCATAATGGGCCATGGAGAATCCAAAGAGCGTGTTTTTTTTATGGAAATAATTAAGCATATGATAGAAAAAAGAGGAATCAAAGTTTTATCAGGACAGCTTGAGGTAAAGATACCTCAAGACAAGTGCTGGGCATAGAAGCCACAGGGTATAAATCTGCAAAGAAGTAAAAAGCTAACCTTTTTGAAGAATATTACTTCTCTCTCATTTACCAGCTTTACTTCTCCCTGTATGGCTCCGGAAGATGGCTGGTTAGCCAGAGACGGGTAAGATTCCTCAAGGGAGGAACAACCTAAGACAGGCACAGTCGCAGGGGGGCCATCAGTTGAGAAAATGGGGGCCAACAGAGGTGAGGCTTAGAACCTCACCCCCCCAGCATTGAGAGAAATTGTCTATACTCATGGATGTTTTGTTGCCCTTGTCTAGCTTGGATCAATACTTGGTCTATAGGCACAGACCTGATCATCTATACTTGCCTTCTTACAGCACTAAATCATGCTTTCTATCTTTATCTTGCATCTACCTACGATAGAATAAATATTATGAGGGGATAAAATGTACACATTGCATTAGAAATATACATGATACCTGCCTAGCTAACTGTAGCAGTGAGTGACCTGTATTTCACCTTGAGCTGATAGACTCCATAGTCACTGCTACATGCTGCACGTTTCTGTGGTCACATGCATTACTCAGAAACTGCTTTGCATAGAAACGAGAGACACAATAGAGTACATGTTGCTAGGAAAAGTTTAGGTCAAGGAACAGAAAAAAGATCACCTGTCCAACACTTGGCTAACCATGTATAGATTAGAAAGAAACAGAAAGAAAAAAGCTTGCCAATGCCTGTTAATCAAAAGAACAAATAAAAAGTAATCATATCCTTGTGCAAAATGGTATAAATAAAGCTGTCATCGGCACTTTGTCGAGAGACCTCCTCCAGCTTCCTCCAGCTGACTCTGTGTCCTGTCTCTCCATACGCTGACTCCGTCCTGCACTTTCAGACATCCCACCCCTAGGCTGGAGCTGCACTCCTGCATACAGCGTAAAAAAGTTCCATCTTTACAGGAGAAACAAAACTTGGGTCATTAGACTTTGATAGCTTTTAATGTCTTGGGACATCGAAACAATTACCACTTGGAGAAAGTGATTTAGCTAGCTGTGAAAGCTATTTAGGAGTGGCTAAATAGTTACAAGTATGTATGTGTGTGTGTGTGTGTGTGTGTGTGTGTGTGGCTACTTCATTATTTCATAGCATTATA